TCAAGATCCAGCCATACCACTCCTAGGCATATACCCAAAAGAGGCACAAGTACACAACAAGGACATTTGTTCAACCATGTTTGTAGCAGCTTTATTTGTAATAGCCAGAGGCTGGAAACAACCCAGATGCCCCTCAACTGAAGAATGGATGCAGAAACTGTGGTACATCTATACAATGGAGTATTACTCAGCAATGAAAAATAAGGAAATCATGAAATTTGCAGGTAAATGGTGGGACCTGGAAAGGATCATCCTGAGTGAGTTGACCCAGAAGCAAAAAGACACTCACGGTATATACTCACTCATATAAACATACAATATAGAATAAACCCACTAAAAGCTGTACATCTAAACAAACTAAGCAAAAGAGAGGACCCTAACTAAAATGTTCAATCCCCATCCTGAAAGGCAAAGAGGATGTACATCAGAAGAAAACGAAAATAGGAAACAACCTCGGAACCCGCTACAGAGGGCCTCTGAAAGCCAGAAGAAAACAGGAAACAACCTTGAAACCTGACACAGAGGGCCTCTGAAAGCTTCTGCAGTATAGACTGTCAAAGCAGATGCTGAGCCTGATGGCCAACTGATGGGCTGAGTGAATGGAATTTTATGTAAGAAGTGGGAAATAGTAAGAGCTGGAGGGAACGGGAACTCCACATGCAGAGCAACAGAACAAGATAATTTGAACACAGGGAACTTCCCAGAGACTCATACTCCAACCAAGGACTATTTGTGGAGATGACCTGGAACCCCTACACAGGTGTAACCCATGGCAGTTCAGTGTCCAAGTGGGTTCCATAGTAATGGGAAGAGGGACTGCCTCTGACATAATCTGATTGGCCTGCTCGTTGATCACCTCCCCCTGAGGAGGGAGCAGCCTTACCAGGCCACAGTAGAGGACAATGCAGCCACTTTTGATGAGAACTGATAGACTAAGATCAGAAAGAAGGAGAGGAGGACCTCCCCTATCAGTGGACTTGGGGAGTGGCATGCATGCAGAAAGGGGAGGGAGGGTGGGATTGGCAGGGGAGGGGGGAGGGGCTCATGGGGGGATACAAAATGAATAAAGTGTAATTAATAAAAAAAAATAAAAGATTTAAAAAAAAAAAAGAGTCCCTGGGGGGACATTACCAATATCTGCTTCATCCTTATAAGGCCCCAACAACAAACCACAACATCAAAAATCACCCTGGGGAACCAATGAGTTTGGGAGTTCGCTTATAGATCAGGTACTGGCAGAGGTCAGGGGACAGAGAGGCTGAATTAAACGTTTTTACCCAGTGTGGATGACAGCTATCCATAGCAACATAGACAGAGTCTCCAGTCTAAGCATTCTAGAATCCCAAGACCGTTAATACAGGTCCTCCTGTTGTGGTGACCTTCAACCGCAAATTATTTCATTGCTACTCCAGAACTGCAATCTTGCTACTGTTATTAATCACAATGTAAGTATCTGATATGTAGGATATCTGACATATGACCCCCATGGGGGTCACAACCCTCACAGGACTAGGACTTTTGGGTGCTGTCACTTCCCATGCAAGGAGAATGTGGCAGCTTCAGGCTGGCTTAGCTTTCTGCTTCCTCAGTGATCTGGGGGAAGTGACTTCCCCCAACAAAGCCCCTGAATATCGATGTAATAGTGTAAAATATTAGTTCTCAACTGGCTTGTATTTGGGGGGCACACTTTTGAATGCTGACACTGTGGTTGACTCACTTGAAGAAGCTTCTCTCACACTCCAGCCAGGGTCCTGCACCCCAGGCTAAGGAAGCCTTGTGTAATGTTTGAAAACATGGATATCAATCAACAGTGCATGTCTGCCTGTGTGTAGAATGTAACAACATATTGTCACATTTGAATCTTAATTGTCACATCTTAATCTTGGATTCACAGCACAAGGCGGGTTCAGCTCGCTGTAACCACAGAGACTCCTTCTGTAAGAATGTGACACATTAATTGCTAACTGTGACCTGCTACCCTAGGCACAGCTGTTACATGTGTCAGAATCAGTATAGCAATGTTACATGCTGATCACTGTGACCTGGTCCCCTATGCTATCCAGAAGCTGTCCCTGGCAGACTGCTGATTTCAGCACTGTGCCACTGGGGACTCTAGCTCAGCTTCTCTCAGATACTGGGAAGACAACGTGCCCCATCCTCCAACTTTCCACTTTAGCTTCTGCTAGCCTTGAATCTCTCTCTCATCGTTAGTCACAAGAGTGGCTTCCACACATTAGAGCTTAGTGACAGTACATTCCAGATGGCTATAGAAATATGCTAGGCTGGGTGTTGAAAATGGCTCGTGATTAAGGCACAGGGAACAGCAGGAAATAACTCAACTTGGTTAAGAGCTTGCTGTGTAAGCCTGAGGACCATTCCTCAGAAGCCAGATAAAAAGAAGCTGGCTTCAAGCTTAGACTCTCAGTGCTGGAAGGCTGGGGCATAGATCTCTGGGGGTTCTGGGCTAGCCAGCCTAAAATAACCAGTGAGCCCCAGAAAACAGTGTCTGTCTCACATTTTAAATAATATTAATACTTTAAAATGGTGGACAAACCTGAGGAATGCCCCGGGGTGGTTTTCTGATTTCAACAGGCAAACCCACATGTGTGCTTTCCCTCCCTCCTTCCCCTCTTCCTCTCTCCCTCCTTTCCTCCCTCCCTTTGTCTCACTTCCCCTGCCTCTCCCTCACCTTCTTTTCTTATTGCCCCTTTCCACCCTCTCCCCTCTGTCTTCACTGCCCTCCCATGCACACTGCATCTCTGTTTTGCACACTCCATCAGCAAACAAGGGCTCCACGGCAGCCAGGGGTGTGTCCAGATTCCAGGGAAACAAACAGTGTGGTGTAGGGGCTCCTGGGAAGGGGAGGGAAGCAAGAGGGTCAGCTGATTGCTCAGTGCTCTACGTGTTCAATGATTTGACATGAAAATGGGCTGCTACAAACCAGGGCTTTGCCTGTTTCTACTTTGGGAAACTTAATATCTTCAGAACCAGAAAAGATTCTGTAGGCATCCCTGCTTCACAAAAGAGCTGACCCTCATGTTTAAGGTCATGGGGCCAATTAAAGGCAGGAGTCAGAGCAGCAGTGCATTTGACCAACAGTCAGTCATGCTGCAGTTTCTGCTTTGATGGGTAGGCCCTGGTGCTCCTGAGTTATGTTTAAGCCCAGCATGCCTTTCCTCTCATTTGACAGCTTCCCTGCCAGGATATTGCCATCTATACTTTCCGGGTGGGGAAATTCAGGCTCAGAGAAGTTCAGTCATTCAACCATCTGTCCTTCGTGCAAGGGAGACGGAGGTAGAGCCTAGAACTTGGGACAGGTCAGCCTGTCTTTGGGTGCACATGCCTCTGGATATCTTTGATCTATTCTCTTGGGGCAGTTATCTCTAGGAGGCAATATTTAGAAGGCCCGGGTCTGCAGAAAACAAAAGAAAAGCAGTTATCCTCACCTGCTTCCAGTAGCTGACTATGCACTAAAGGTCCCTCCTGACCCAGCAATGACATGCCTGGGTGATCTGGCTTTTCCCCATAGCTGGCCTCAGGGCTGTGCTCTCCAGATGTCAGATGCCTCGATTGCAGCCGCCATTCAGCTGAGAAGGCCCTCCTCCCAGGCAGCTTCCAGTCACCTGGATTCTGAGGAGGAGGGCACTAACTCCCTGCAGTGAAACTCCAAGACCGAGACCCCAACTCTTGTGGCCCTGTTCTTTTTCTTATCACCTGAAGCTGTTAGGCAAGAGGTCATATGCTCCGACTTCACGCCCTCAGCAATGCCACTGCTTCTGCTCACCCAAAGCAGATAGTTTTGATTGGTTGATTGATTGAAGTTTTAGTGTGTTTTATTCCAGTATTTTCACACATCATTCATTCTTGTTGATCTTCCCCCTCCTTCTCATAACAGACCCCTTTTTCTTCCCTGTCACAAGAACTCTGTTATTCCCTTTTCTCCTTCCCCCCAACTTAAGATCTACTCCCCTCAAAGGGCTCTAAATCAGCCTACCATAGAGGGTTCACCTGCTCATCTGTGTTCATCATTGCCCTATTCACAGTAGCCAGGAAATGGAACATTTCCAGTAGATGAATAGATAAGGACAATGTGGCGCATATACACAATGGAATACTGTTCAGCCCTAAAGAAAACTGAAGTCACGACATTTGCAGGAAGATGGATTTAACTATAGATATTCATGTTAAACAAAATGGGCCAGATTCAGAAAACAAATACTACAGGTTTTTCTCACATGAAGATCATGTGTGTTGGGGAGGGGGTGATATTGGAAAGACCATAAGAGGGGAAAGGAGGTAGCACACTCAATAGGAGTGTTCCCCCTTCCTGACTCCCAAGACTTTGCCCCAGCTGACCCTCTCCCTGACAAGCCCTTCCTAACTGCTCAGTTGAGGTCAATCACGAGTCTTGAGAACACCTTGGGTTCAATTGCTGCCCTTCTCACTTTCACTGTACAACCTCTTCTAGGTGACATCATCTGATCCTTTAGACTCATTCTTTGTGAAACAGTAGGGGTGGGGAGAGGAAGACGCTTGATAGAAACAGCAGGCAACCCCTTATTTAACCCATTCAACCCTCTTAGATGCTTTGGGGGTGAGGTGGGGTGAGGTGACGGTGTCTCCCATCCTGCCACAGAGACTTTGGGACCTGAAGTCATAAGCTGTAGTCAAGACAGCTGCAAAGTGGTCTTGAGCCAGGATATCAGTCCAAGCCTGCCAGACCCCAGCACTTGCCTATCAACATTATCATTGTCTTTTAGGGGCATTGCCTTTTACTCACCTCAGTGGTAGACGGAAGAGCCAGTAGGAGGAGACCATGGACAGTTCCAAAACCTGCAGTATTGGATTGCTGGGTGGGAGGACAGGGCTGCTGGGGCTGTATAAGGTGGCTCTCCTGGATCATACCCCTGTGTAAAACCAGCCCTCCACGGCCTTCCACCATCTCCCTTTTTATTGGCCTCAAAGAGAAATAATTCTACATTCCCTCTTACTCTGATTAGGGCCTGGTCATTGAGCGCCTAGGACGGAGACCTCTCCTCATTGGTGGCTTCGGGCTAATGGCCCTCTTCTTTGGGACCCTCACCGTGACACTGACCCTGCAGGTGAGACATTTTGAGGGGATGAGCAGGAAACTGGTACTGGCTTTGTCACTTTGAAGCCTCGTGGGTTCATCCTCCCAACATCTCTTGTGAGGTATCTCTCCCATGGAGTTTCACCTCCAGGGATCTGGAGGGGTGGACATTGGTGATGGGCTCTGGAACTTGGGGACAAGAAAGGACCTGACTTGTGGCTTTGCCACTGCCACAGATGAGCTGTGTTGTGGTTAGCAGACACCTCCCTTACCAGAGCCTCAATTTACCTATCTTTGAAGTGTGTGTGGGTGGTGGTGGGGAATCATGTGAGATGCCTCTAGGGTGCCCCTCAGTTATCACCTCCTTACAAGGGGAGCTGGGCACTCCCTGTCATATGACCTCACAATAACCACTCTGTCACCTGGATTCCTTGTGCTGGATTCCGGCTTTTCCACTTGCCACTGTTCTGGTTCCTCTTGGGCCCTAAGGAAAGCACCCCTAGAGCCTCGGATGCTGTGAGGAGTAGCTGTCAGCATAGTGAGTGAGTGGTGCAGGGGTGTGCATGAATTTACATGGAGGAACAACTATGGCCCCTATCCATATAAAATTCAGATCGCCTCCTTTTAAAAACTTAACATTTTATTTTACGCGTATGGATGTTTTTCCTGCACGAATGTCTGCAGACCACTTGTGTGACTGGTGCCCATGTAGGCTGGATCCTCTAGAACTGGGGTTACAGATGGTTGTGAGCCACCACGTGTGTGCTGGGAACTGAGCCTGGGTCTTCTGCAAGAGCAGCAAGTGCTCCTAACCACTGAGCCTTCTCTCTAGACCCAGGTTACCCATCTTTTGTGGAGGGAAAGTCCAGATCATAAATACATGTGATCAAGGCTTCACAGCTGGATGATGGCAGTAGACTGGATCACAGAGTCTTTATCCCAGGCCCCACAACTTTTCTCCCTGCTCAGAGCAACCTCCATTCATTGAGCTCAAGCCAAGGGTGCTGATAAGTCTTGCTGTGTTTTTTTTTGCTTTGTTTTTGTTTTTTTTTTCAGGAATAAATCTTGACATTGAAAGTTAGGCATCTAGGTCATTGGCCAGCTATCCTAACATTCCAAACAGTTCTTGAAAGAGGCAAGGGTGGTGTGGTGATGTCAGAAGCTGATTCTTCAGAGGCAGTGCTGAACTGGCTCCTTCTTGGGGGACAGTATGTAACCTGATCTGGAATTTCCCCATATCCAGGCATACAGTTGTACTGATCTGCATAGCTTTGAAGTATCCTTGAACCTCTGACGTTCTGAGAGAGAAAGTGGAAGCTGCTCATGAGTCTGTCTGTCTTCTGCATCAAGCCTCCTCCCACCCTAAGTCCCATGCAACAAGGCCTCAGAACTCTCTCAACCCCTGCCTATAGATGAGTAACAGGTCCATGAGTGAGTTAGCTGCCCACACTCATGGGACGGCAGGAGCATAAGCATGGTGCTTTACGTAGTAAGAGAGAGAGAGATTTCAAGTGTGACACTACCTGAACATTTTCTCCTATGCCTTGCTTTAGAGCAGTGGCTCTCAACCTGCAGGTCATGATCCCTTTGGAGGTTGAGTTATCTTTTCACAGGGATTGCCTGAGACCATCGGGAAAACACAGATATTTACATTATGATTCACAACAGTGACATAATTACAGTTATGAAGTAGCAATGAAATAATGTTACGGTTGGGAATCACCACAACATGAGGAACTGTCTTAAAGTGTTGCAGCGTAAGGAAGGTTTAGAACCGCTGCCTTAGAGCATTCAGTTTCCTGTGAATTGTGCACTTATTTTCCACTTCCTGCTTACTGGGGTCTGAGGAATTCTGCTAGCAGCATCGTGCAACCCATATCTTGGAAATCAGAGAACAAAATGACTAAGTGGTTGCCATTTGTATCAGCTGGGGCTCAGGGATATGAAATACCCTGTCATACAGGAGTCATGAAAAATGCAATATTCCACTGCTCCTCACCTGTTCATATTGTCCTTCTCCTGCAGGACCAAGCCCCCTGGATCCCTTACCTAAGCATTGTGTGCATTTTGGCCATCATTGCATCATTCTGCAGCGGCCCAGGTAGGACATCCTCCTGCATTGTGCCTGGCTTGGGGACTTGGGGTGGTGGTGGGGAATATCTCCTTGACCAGTGGGAAACTTATGGCCTAGGAATAATGGGGCAAAGGGTGTGCCCCTGCTTGCCCTTAGGCCTTCCTGAAGTGCAGGGGGCTGTCTTCATTCTGTTCACAGAAGGTAGATACATGCTAACCCACAGATGGTCATGTCTGTAAGCCTGATAATGATGAACTTGGGGTTCTATGTGCTAGGCTTCAGACTGACCTGTCAGGAGGAATAAAAGATGACCAAGCGACCTCTGAGCCTCGGAGAAGGCACAGGTGACTTTGGAAGGTCACTGATGATGGTGTGTGGGGGATGCATGAGTCACTGCTGGTGGGCAGCACTCCGTGAACCTGAGAATGAAAACTCTCTCAGGGATCCTGGACGATCCAGAGAGGGTCACTGTCACTCAGTAGCCAAGGAGATTCCTGGCTTCAGACCTGGACCCTAGCCACCACCTTGCATAGTGCCTGCTGACTTTGGAGCCAGGGTTGGAGAGAACCTCAGTTAATTCAGTTCCACTGCTTCTCAGTCCTGCACCGACTGGAAAAGCCTATTATTCTTGCTGTGCTTCAGTTCCCCTGTCTGTAGGATGGAGTTTTCTTCAGGGTCTTTACATGGAGTTTTCTTTAGGGTCTTGCCATTTCCCTGGCCTCATGCCTATGTCAAGCTAAATCCTCCATAAGACTGGTTCTGAGAGGTAGGTTTAGGGTAGCATCCAATAGGGCTGCACACTCTCTAACAAGGCCGTCAGAGCCTTTCTTTACTCTTCTGTGTGTTGGTGAAAAGAATTGTGGGGTTGAGGCTCAGTCAGTCATGTATTGCCAGGTGTGCAAGATGACCCCAGCATTCCATAAGTCTGTCACGATGACATTTGCTTATTTGAAAAACAAATGGCATTAAACCTCTCTTTTATTTGCTGTTGCTAACTTTGAAGAGCTGTCACGTGTTGGTTCCCATTTGTGGTTGGTGAGTGGAAAGCATTTGTCCCATCCCAAGTATTGGGAAACTAAGATAAAATGGCAGAGGAGACTTTGTCATGATCAAGGAAGCACCAGGCACACTGGTACATACACACACATCTGGAAAATCAGAACAGCCGGGGGACAAAGGAAGCACGGTGTTGGCTAGATTCATGTCAGCTCGATACAAGCTAGACTCATTTTGGAAGAGGGAATCTCAATTGAGAAAACACCTTACCGCACTCACTTGTAGACAAGTCTGTGCTGTATTCTCTTGATTGGTGGTTGATGTGGAAGAGTCCAACTTACTATGGGCATTGCCTCTCCTGGGCTGCTGCTCCTGGGTGCTATAAGAAAGCAGGCTGAGCAAGCCATGAGGTGCAGGCCTATGAACTGCACCCCTCCATGGCCTCTCAATCAGTTCCTGCCTCCAGGTTCCTGCCATGACTTCTCTGAGTGATAGAGCTGTAAGCCGAAAGAAATGCTTTGCTTCCCAATTGCTTTTGGTCATGGTGTTTTATTGAGGTAATAGAAACCCTAGCTAAGACAGGTACCTATGAGGTAGGGCAGTAAACTAAGAGGTGAACAGACTAGTGCATGCTGCAGCCACCTACAGATTTGGGAATCTCCATGTTTCCTAAAACTGATGGCCAAAAGCTGCCTCCCACCTCCAGTGCTCTCTTCCCAGATACTCACTGATATTAGACCAGGTACCTCCCACTAGCAGCTTTGAATGTGTAAACTGCTCTCTTACCTTCCTGCTCATCAGTACAATCCTGAGACGGGATTGGCATGTTGAATAGAGAAATAGCCAGGCCATATTTCTCTCTTTGATATCTTACTCTTTCTACCCCAGGGATAGAAAGAGGATTAAAGGCAAGCTGCCAAATTCTTTCTTTCCATAATAACCTTATTCTCAATTTATAGACTAAAAGAAAAACAGTTCAGGCTTATTAATCTCTTGTGTCACAGAGCTGAGAAATGATGGGTTTGGACCTTCACTATCTTGTCCTAAGACCCGTCATCTTAAAACCTCTATACATATCTGGCTGGTGTTGTTTGCTAAAACTTGAGTCAAATTAGATACATTTTGAGACTGAACTACAAGGTTAAAACTACTTAGGTGACTCGATAGGTAAAGGCACTTGTCACCAAGCCTAAGGATATGAGTTGAATCCCAGGACATATGTGGTACATAGAGAGAACCAACCACACACAATTTGTCCTCTGACTTCCACGAATGTACCCACACATACACAAACAGGTGTAATCTTTTTTTAATTACTCCGTGGGAAAAGGGCCTACACCAAGATTTCTAGATATGAGGAGGGTGCTTCCAAGTGTTTCTTCTCAGGATGAGATTAACCTCTATCTTCCCAAACCTACCCTGCATGCATCCACATAAGACACAGTGTTGTCACTTTTCTCTCTCTCTCCGACAGATCTTGGCTGAAGGTGGCTCTGAACTGTGCTTATTTTCATAGCTTCCATTGGTTCCTTTTTCAGGCCTCCTCCTCACCCAGAAGTCAGAAACTGGTCTTGTGCTTTAGCTCTTAAATTTAGACTCTTAAATCTTAGCACTTGGTGTTGATGGGAAAGCTTTCCCATCAACAACTTGGTGTTGATGTCTCGGGGTGTGGAATGCTGAGCTCTACACTGGCTAAGTCTAGGGGGCTCTCTCCAGGGAACTCACCTGCACCCTGTGAACACAGATTAGCTTTCAGTCCTGACACTTCATCCCCAAATCCCTGGTGTTCGCTCAGCAGTCATATCCCAGCTCCCCCCAACCCCCAGCATGCAATGATCTCAGCCACAGGTGGGCTGGGGTCTAGGACATCAAATAAATTCACATTGACAGTGCCCAGCCCAAGGCCCTAGGGATATTACCTAAGAAAAATCCAGACTGTGAGAGCTACCTAAGTGACTGGGGGCAGATCCAATCCCAGGAGAAACTCTCTGGAAAAGTAAGGGATGAGGGCTGAGAGATAACTGGCTGAGACCCTCCATATGGCCTCCCCATAAGGAAATGCCAAAAACCCAGGGACCCTCTGAAATAATCCTCCCAGGAGAGAATACAGTAGTTTGGCTCAGACTGCTTTCCTGGGCAATCAATTTAAGGAGACTTGACAGGCAATTGAAATTAAGACAGAGGGAAAGAAAGAAAACAAAAGCAGCAATTTCCCACTATATATTTTATGTGTGTGCACAGCCACAAGGTGGCTCAGAGAATCTCATAAACAAGGCAGTTGAAGGTCTTACTTTGAAGGACAGTAGATCTCTATATCTCTTTTCCAGTCTAGGGTTGTCATGAGGGCCTGACACCCAGAAAGAGGGGGGCCTTACTGGAGAGGACAGAAGTACCAAGATGGAGGTTTTTGGAGGTGGGAATTAGGTTGGAGGTGGCCCAGTAGGATATACCAAGTGCCTACTTAGCCCAAGTCTGGTATGAAAAGGGGTCCCCTCTACTTGTCATAGTGCCCTAGCCCTGTGGAGCCTTTCCTGCAGGTAGAATTTATCTGAGGGCTGAATGAAGGACATACAGGAGTCCTCCAGCTATGCAGACCAGAGTTCTACAGAGAGGCTAGCATCCCAGGCAAGCTCTTGCAGACCCCAGAGGAGAACCTAAGTAAGGAGATGGGAACAGAGACAAGTGAAACAGGTAAAGCAGAGTACCAACTGTGCCCCTGCCACATCTACAGAAAAGGGAGTAGAAAGGTTCTGTTCTTGACCTGATGAAGACCTCAGGAAATCAGACCTGGAAGTAACTATTTTTAAAGGCGTTTCCAGGAGAGGGAGGGAGAAGGACTAATGGATGCTTCATGGCTAGTATTCTAGACACATCTGAACATTGCTATACATTATCCCTTCTTGTGTGTCTGTGAGGTTAACTCCAGGATCTCACAGTTGGTCAGGCCTGGGCTCTGAACCCTGGCCATGACACAGGTAATAAACAGAGGTGGATGGGAGGCTATGTTTATAACTTGAACCACCCTGGAATAAAACTCAAGCAGCAGCTACAAGGCCTCAATCACCTCATTTGGGGTTAAGGAACAGAACAAGAGCCCTGGCCCTGCTAGTAAATCCTACTGCCAACATGAGCCAACAGGTATGAGTCTCCTTGCACAATGGCTGGTGTGCACACATCCCCAGATATTCCTATTTGTTGGAAAATCAACAGGTGTAAGAACAAATAAGAAAGAGAGAGAGAGAGAGAAGAGGGAGAGAGAGCAAAAGACAATGTGCCAGGGCAGAGAGAATGAGAGAGGGGGAGAGAGAGAGAGAGAGAGAGAGAGAGAGAGAGAGAGAGAGAATCAGACAGACTGAAAAACAGACTGACAGACTGATTGACTTTAATGCATGGCTTTGGCCTTCTCACAGCTGAACTAATCAGCTTAGATGGGATTCAAGTCAGGTGACTCTGTTCCCTGAGGAGGTAGAAAATTATGTCCAAAGCCATAGTGATGGGAAAATTAATTTCTAGTGTTCATGACTAAGCAGAAATTATTGGGTAGAAAAGTAGGTACAAGTACATTTATACAACCAGAGCCATAAACCGAGACACATCCTGACACCAAACCAGTTTGTGGTCATGATTCTTGTAAGAGAAACCCACATAATACAAAATCAGCTATCATTGCCAAGGACATATCAATGAATTTACATGAAGGTTAGGCTTTCTTCTCAAGTCATTAGCATGTGTTATTAATAGTAGCCCCCTTCTAGAAGTAGAAATCCAGCCTCATGCCCTCTGTGTTCATGACCACACAGGGGCTTGTAGGAAAATCCCTGTGACACGAGCCTTCTGAGTCCTGCTTGTGAACACTATGACACAAAGTTGTAGCTGGTAGGAGATGTCCCCGCACCCCAGGCAGAGCAGTCAGATGGATTAAAAAAAAAAAAAAAAACAACGTTTTGTGAGTGATTTCCTCCTTGATCTGAAGTTAAGGCTAGAAGACTCAGCAAGAGACAGAGGTCCCAGGACCAACCACAGTGGAAAGC